CTTCCGACCCTAGAAACTATGAAACTATGAAACATATATATACATATACATATTAATGAAAAAATATATATTGCTGGTTTGAAACCAAAACACTGATCAAGGTAAATAAATGGTTAAACAGCTCCTCCTTCTTTGGATTACTCAAAGATGAAAGAAGAATTGGAGATGGGATTATTGGGAATTTACTTAATCTGAAAGAAAAGAACAAACAGAACAAAAAAATAACCCAGCTTCATATTCATTAGGCATGTGTATTCTATTTTTTCTTGTTTGTTGCTGTATTTCTATCATTAGAAGCCCTTTAGCCCCCCTCTAATCATTCTCTCTGATTCATTAATCAAAAAGTAACTCTATTTCTTGTGTAAGAATTATTTCATGACAAGGGCATCAGAATTTGTGGAGAAGCTCACACAGGGGACAGGGAACCCTGAGATACCACATGTTCTGCAGCGACACTAATTCTCAGAGAACTATAGAAATACTGTTTTGTTTTATTAAACCAGGTAAAGCACCAAAGCCCAATTAGCATTTGTAAAAAACAAAGACAAAAAACTCTCCATGCAAGGCTTTAAATTTGTTGAAAATCTCAATGACTATAAAAGGAATACCTATTACAACAGAAAATGTCTCTAGCCTTTCTTTCCCCTCAAATGTTCCCTCTTTTCAGTAGACACACTAACTATATCTTATTTTAAAATCTTTTTAGAAGTGTAAGAATTTGTAAATGAGACATTTAATTTGTTCATTACTTCCACAGTTTCAAACAAAAAGGTGAACATCTGGGATTTTACTGGTAAAATATCAGGCCAAGAACTGAACTTGTTTTCACTTTCTTTTACATACTACAAAGCACTAGAAAAGTGAGACTGAGTAGACAGAATCAGATTAAAAGGAAGACATCAGAGGTGATCTGATGGGCTTGATACATTTTATAAAGGTTTTGTAAAACAAATCAAAAGAAAATCTGATTCTTCTTCCTTTTGATATATTTTAGAGGTACTACTTTTAGGACAAAACAGTTCAACTAAAAGGGTTTTGAAAAAGTCAAAGGGATGTCAGAGCCTAGATCCCCTTTTTCCTTTTAAAGTTTCTCCCCACATCAGTATTATTTAGAAAGTAAAAGTAGTAAAGTGATGTAGGGAACAAGTCACACATCTGAAACATAACGAACCAAGCATGCATATCTGAATAATTCCATAAGACATTTCACAACTGATCACACAATAAAATATATTTACAAAAAAAT